AAACAAGCCGTTTTAGGTAGGCGTGGCTGACTCTTAATTTTTATAAAGAATATCTCTTTGGATTTGAGACTTTAGTCTTTGCAACTTTACAGATCTTCTTTATGCACCAAGAGCTTGTAACACTCCAAAGAGAAAGGAAAAATTTAAATTGCATCATATGACCCCTTTAAACAGCACAAATATATTCGCTGTTTGCCATGGTGGATCGATTTAATCCATGATCGACATTAAGGGCTGTTTAAGATTAAGCGTCCACAAATTAATTAGATTGTGTGAACTTACATTGTCGTTTATGGAACTGCTTTAGCCCCGATTGATTTGTTAGGTTATTTCAAGTCAGATTTTGGACTTTAATCCCCGCTTTTCCTCAGGTCTCTGTAGTGGTGTTGTGATGAGTCATATTCACGCAGCAGTAGCAGTGATGAGAGAGCGCGCTTGAGAAACAGTTTTTCACGAGGAGAAATCAATCTACATATAAAATATTGGTCACAGATTATTGGTCACTTTCTAATCAATAAAAGTGTAGCCATCCACTAGTAATTATATATAAATAAATCGTTTTTTACCGATGCAAATATGTTAGAAACGATGTATCGCAATACAAATTCCAACTTGTATCCGATGCACACTTTTTAAACCGGTGCATCGTATAGTTAACTTCTTTTGCCGATGCACCGAGGATGTCCGAAATTTAATTTAATTTTTATATATTTATATATTTGGTTAGTTAGTGAAATTAAATAATTGTCTTTGTTGAAAATTGTTATGACAAACAAGAGTTTGTCAAATATATACACTACCATTCAAAAGTTTGGGGCTGGCAAGATTTTTTAATGTTTTTAAAAAAGCCTCTTGTACTTACCAAAGCTGCATTTATGTGAGTGGAAAAAAATACAGTGAAACAGTAGTTTTGAGAAATATTATTACAATTTAAAATAACTGTGTTTTTATTTGTAATATATTTTAAAATATAATGTATTCCTATGATGTCAAAGCTGATTTTTCAGCAGCCATTGCTCAGGTCTTCAGTGTCACATGATCTGGTGCGATTTGGTGCTCAAAATAATTTCCAATTATCATCAATGTTGAAAACAGTTGTGCTGCTTAATATAATATTTTTGTGGAAACATGATCTCTTTTTTTTTTAAAGATACTTTGATGAATAGAAAATTCAAAAGAACAGCACTGATTTGAAATGAATTGACATTTTTGTAGCATTATAAATGTCTTTGTCACTTTTGCTGAAATAAAACATGTCCTTGCTGAATAATATTAATCTCTTAAAAAAAATCTTACTGACCCCAAACTTTTGAACGGTAATGTAATGCATCTAAAAGAGATTAAACTGGTCAGTGTTTACATTTTTTGCAGTATTTGATGTGGAGAGCTGTGGAGAGCATTGAGACATTACCTTTTGTTGCTTGTTATTGACTGTGTATTAATGAATCAGTTTTAGATTTAGCATTGAGGCCAGTTGTGAGAGAGATGGAGTTAAGCACCGGCTCCAACACCAGCACCATTTTGGTGGAAAAGTGCAGATATGTATGTATCAATATACATAATCAATAAGTGAATCATGTGGAACAAGTGCAATAAGGATCAATAAGTGAATCATGTGGAACATTCCTCATCAAAATTCATATCACATTCTCTGCCTTGGCAAACTGTCGTGTATTTTAATGGTTAGTCAGACATTTGTATGACATCTGTAGATTTCTTTCAAGGAAGAACTCCTTGGTTAAATCAGATACAGGCCATAAGTGCCACCTGTTCTCACCATCTGTTAGAATCTATTAGTGAAAGATTTCTTGAAGACATCTAAGTGTAACATGTTCTTTCTAGCCTCAGTATAAGGAAATACTTGCCAACTTTTTCAGATCCACCTTAACCACTACTCTCACAGATATGGCACGTGTTTACAATTGGGATGTCAAGAGAAGGAGCAAAGACAACCTCCTCAAATCTGCAGAGCGGTCCTAGAAGAGGAGGCCTAGTTTGGTCCCACCCCACCTGAATTCCTTTCCCATCAGAAAATTCACCCCATGTATCTGTTTGCACCAACACCAACTGTTATCTATTGATTTATTACTTTTTAAAGTATTTTTTCAAGTAAAAAGGTGAAAAACACAAAACAAAAGTAATAATGGTAGTTTTCTTTTTTTATGATGAATTATTAGCTGTTTCAGAGGGGGCCTCTCTCCACAGGGTTTACACATTTGTCTTCCTCTGTGCTCTTTTTCCTCTCATTTGTTGTTTGGGAAACATCCGAAATTTCAGTTCTGTTCAAGCGAAACTGTTTAAACTACTATTATTGGCCTCAAATTTCTTTCTGTGGAATTTTTCTTGCCAAATCTTGGTAAGGTCATTGTCAATGCAGTGTGCAGAATATGGGGAACATCCTGTTTCATTTATCAGCCTCCTTTCTCTTCCCTTTTCTTCACTCTTCCTTATCTAATGTCAGTTTTTTCATCTCTTGTCCTTCACCTGTACTTATTTGTCACATTGTAGCCATTAAACACTGAACAAAGAACTCGTAATGAAGCAATTTTGGAAAAGGCACAAAATCGATGAGATGGTCTGTGTTTTTAAACTGCGTAGCTTTTTATAATTCCTCGTCTGATTGAGGTTCTGGCAGTGAGTGAGATGAATAAGCTTTAATGAATCCAACTAATTAAATATGTGGCTGCAGTTCCATCTATTTCTTTCAATTTTTGACAATCACTTGTGCACTACTGAAACTACTAATGTTGTCTATTGCCTTTCAATTATATTCTCTTGGAGCAGCACAACTGCTGTACTGATATCATCATTGAACTGTAAAACGACCCTCAATTCCAACAGGTCAAGGGAGGAATGTTAATCAAGTTATAATATTCAACCAGAACATTTTTAACATGTTACTTTAATCTGTAGTACGTTTCATGTTCCCTTGATAAAGAGGTACAGGGTGTCTCAAATTCACTGAAACCGAATCAGTAGTGTTTGTACAGCCAGTCTTTGCAAATCCACATCAGCCACAAAAAGCTTATAGAGCGAGCAAGTGGTCAACCAATCCAAAATCCTGTTTCTTCCCTGAGGCCCTGTCTCAGCCATGTTTTAAAAGGCTTCATGCTATCCAATAATGTGAAAGATTAACTACTCAGCCAGTTGTGCACTGTTATGGACTGTATCGACACATCTTCTCCGATTTAATTTGAGAAAGCGGCTATGGATATATTTCGTAGGGGTGAGAGTGGAAGTGAAGAGCAAGTCATTAAAAAAAGTAAAGATGTTATAGATGAATAAAGTAAGGATTAAATACATGGCGATACAAGCTCTATAGATACAGATGTCTTATGTGAATGTGTACAAGGTCAATGGCCTTCACTGAGCAGTTAAAACCCTATAGGAAGAGCTTGCTTTTTCACCATAGGCACCGTAGGAGGTGCGACAGGCCTAAGGTCCAGCAGAAAGACCACCTCGCTGTAATGAATAATCACATTAGATAGTACAATCGCAGGCTGTAACACTCAGAAACACTCTTTGGGATAAAAGGTGTAAAAGATGTACATAAGTACAACAGATTAAAGTTTCTTTGTAATTCTGGTGAGCACCAGAGGCCTCTTGTGGCAATGTGTGATAAGTGAAATGTTAATATTTGTAAAATAATGCACACATTTATTAATCCATCTGGGGCTCATGGATGTGCTTTCAGTAGTCCCTTATGAATCTTTGCATTAGATCATAAAAATGAACCTCCTTGGTGATATGATGGATTATCATACCATGTGTCATGCATATCTCACACCATTTCAATTACAATTGAAAATCTTTTTTCAATTTTTTGTTCATATGGGAATCATTACAGATCATGTGTTTTTCCAGTTTTGGAATTCTTCATGTAGTATATTGCAGTATATCTCCTTCCCTTTGTCTTTCATTTTACTAAAAATAATCAGACACTTCACACCTTTAGCAATCAAATGTTTCAAGTCTGACATTTTTGAGTCAACAGAAATGTGTATCCCAGCGTTTGAAGTCAGCAAGTAAAACTTGTGTTAGTCCGTTATCTCTCTCATGATACAACCAATAGAAGATACTTGGAACAAGCTTATTCCCGATATCGGAGACGTCCAAAGCCAGAACATCTTTATTTGGGAAGTCAAACTTTTGTGGCTCAATAGAATGAATGACAGATTCATTCTACAGAATGTGCAGATATAGTTTTGACTGGCCTTTCAGCAGGAGTTGTGCAATATTATTAGTATTTTTTTTTAATAATCTTTCATTCTTATCAGTTAAATGTGGCTATATACAAGATTGTGTGATTAGGAAAATGAGCAAAGTAGTATAGAAAAGTGAAGCAATATGGTATGGTGGGACTCGTTTAGGCAATCAGCAAGCAGGAAAGGGGTGATGTCATAATCAGGGAGTTGAAGACTGACCCTGTGATTGGAGGAAGTATTTATTTTGTGCACCAGGGCCCAAATGTTTGATAGGTACCAGGGTGGCGATTACAGACTCAACAGAAACACCGACGATCGCCCTTTGTCACTTCTTCTGATGAATGCACCACGTTTGGTATGAATCCACTCTTCACTCCCTCCCAACCCTCTTGGATGGTAATCTCCCCACTCTTCACCAGCTCAAATATATCCTGTGTTAGCTCTGTAAAAGCCCTCTCCACGTTTATGGCGTCGCGTGCTGAAGTCTCCACGTAGCGCATGCCGTACGCAGCCGCTAGCTTCTCGGCCTCTTGCCGGCTCACCTGACGCTGTGGTTCCAGATCACATTTGTGACCGACCAGCAAGAAGACAATGCTGTGGGGCTGCACGTGGCTGCGTGCCTCCTCTAGCCACTCGTGAACGTTCTGGAAGGAGCGACGGTTAGTTATGTCGAAGAGCAGCAGACCTCCCACTGAGTTACGATAATAGGCTCTGGTAATAGACCTGAAGAAGGCATAAAAAAAAAAGAAGAAATAATGTTCCTGAATTTGAATTGACAGTATACAGAATGCAATATTGCAATTCAATTTTGAATGTGAGAAAGTAGCATTTATGTCGGCATGAAATTTATTTTCTAAATGCATGTTATTGAACTGATTGTGAACAATACATCCTTGTATATGTGTACATTTTTTTGTCATTTTTAATCAAATTGTCATAACTCGATCTTTCAACAGATTTGTTGGACGTATGCTGGACTTGTCCCATCATTTTGTCAGCATTAAACTCACACCTTTCTTAGAATTGACTGCAAGTTCAGATCTGCCTCCATCCAATCAACAACAGATGGATTTAACAAAGACCATGTCCCAATTTTTATTTATTTTTTTCAATAATTTCACTTGGATATACATTACATTTTAGAAGAAAAAATCTGTCACTTCTTGCGTTACATTGTAACTTTAAAATGAATTGAAATAAACTAATTTTAACTAGAAGTGCAAATATTATGATGGTTTCATAAAGCCTTGTCTGACAAGAAAAAAATAAATAAAAGACTTTGACAGCTGATGATAGATAGTATATTTGATAGTGTTGAGAAATAAATAAAGTGATCAAATTATGTGTTTATGAAAAATGCAGTGTGGATGTACAACAGAATCTGTCCTGTAAAACTAGTAAGGCATTTGTGTGTATGACAGGAAAGGAGAAAACGTAAAATGTAAAACTGCAACAGGAGGCAGAGATGAAAACAAGGTAGACGAAAAATGTGTAAAAAGGCATCAGAGTGAGACTGTAAAAAAGGTCTTGAGCTTGTGTAGGTGTACTGCTGGGAACGCACTGAGCTGTGAAGGATGCCTAAGGGCCTCTGGAGTTACTGACATCACTTTTAAGTCAGACATTTGTGACATTGTAGATGGCAGTGATTCACCAATATTTATATTTCCTGTAAGAGTTCGGGTAAAGAGACCTTTGAGCTGCTTTCATTAGTAAAGAAATATAGACAGTATCTCTAAATCACCTAGGGTGAAAAAAAAAGAATCAGTGACGTGTGAATCAGTCTGTGAGAAATACATCAGCATGGATACCATGGAAACACCAATCATGTGGATGGATATGGACTCCTGATCAGATAAGCTTGATGATTTAACTTAATAAAGTTGAGGTTTCTTCACCTAAGCAACTATTTGACACTGTACAATCAATAGTTAATTATATAAAATAATGTGCCAATCAGCATAAAAATCTTTCTGAGCTAATAAACTGATATTATTTACATAGACATACATCTTTATAGAATTGGGGGTCTACAAGATTTAAATTTTTTGAGGTAAACCACTTAAACAACTCTATATGAAATGTATTCATCCACCCTATGAACAATCAATACATTATTGGACAGTCATTTACAGTGATACAGAATCATGAGAAAGGTCTAATGTAACATAATCCAAGATAAAGATTTAAATACCTGAAGCGTTCCTGTCCTGCTGTGTCCCAAATCTGCAGTTTAATGCGTTTCCCAGGTTCGATCTCCACCAGGCGGGAGAAAAAATCCACCCCTACCGTCGGGTCTGACACCTGTGCGAAGCGGCCTTCTGTGAAACGTCTAATTAAACACGATTTTCCAACAGTGGAGTCCCCAATAACAATCAGTCGAAATTGGTAAAGCCAAATTGCCTCCATGTTTACTCAGGTCTGTCAAAGCAAAAAAGGAAAGAAGTGAATTAGATGCTACCAAAACACGTTCATGATTTCCAACAGAAAAAAAGACATTATTTTATTCGCTGTCAGCCTGCTTTAAGAGTTTACTAAAAGGAGAAAATAGAGCAAATTTCTCTTTAAAATGTGTAACCTTATGAGGATATGTTGTGGTTATCTCTGCCCTTGCTTTCTGTGGGAAGGTAGTTGAGGCACAAAATAATCCTTTCAGAGTTTGATTTAAGGCCTGCATCAGTTATGATTGTTCATCCATCACTAAAGTTCAATTTAAGATTTGACATTTTTGTCAAATATAGCAAATATATATAGCCAATTCTATATAATAGCCATAGTATTTTAGGATGAACTCAATGCTGTTTTTCCATAATGGAAGAATATACATCATTTGTTTTAATGCAATATATGTTTATAAGTTCTTAGTCAAGTGCAGGTTACTGAATGCAGTCACTCAGTTAACATGACCTACTGACATATGTGATGCCTGTTAGATTGCTGAGATTTCACTGAGGCTCGCCTGGTAGCTGGACAGTAGCTGGCTATCGTTGGCCTTGTCATAATAACGATTAGCCTACTCTCTGTTCTGTACCATATAAAACAGACAACTGTTAAACAAGCGTTGTCTTTGTATAGAAGCATCTGTGTAGAGGATTCCTTATTCGGTGCTCTTTACTTACGTTTTTTGTTTGGTCGGTTCAAAGCTACCAAACGGCAGATTCCATAATCTTTAAAGGATTGAAGCCTCTGTAGAAACCGCTGGATGAAATGACGGACATAAACTATTCACACAACATACCGAATAATAAACAAAACATTCGTCTCTACATAAAACAAACAAACAGATGCAAACCAAACTGTGCCGTGTAGGCGGTCTATTTTGCTTAGGTGTTGCTAAAGATGAGTCGGCGTGTTGTTGAAATGATCCCTGCCTGGATCAAAGTCGCGTAAAAGTCAAAGATGATTTACATCTGTCATGTTTTGATCCACGCTTGGAAGATGGAGAAATGTTTGGATGTTTTGTGCTGATGAAATGGAAGCGACAGCAGAGGCATCATATAGCCTGACTCATCCCGCATCAGCACCAGTACCACAATCCTCCTAATAGCAGCCACGGCAAAATGCGTACCATAGCCCAGGGGCGCCTTCGGATAGCCTAACCAGAGGCCCCTGGGCTACAGCATTACGGAAGGCCCCCCTCCCATATATATATATATATATATATATTTATTTATTTATTTATTTTTTTTTTTGCTTCCTGACAATTATTTATGTTGAATTTAGAATTTTTCTTGTTGACATGCCAGATAAAATTTTCAACACTGTTCTGCTTAAAATATGAATATAAGTGAATACGCAAATTTGCCAGTATAACATAAAGTAAACACTACGTTATTACAGGCATTATACGGAGGTAATATGAAAAAGTGGTTGTTAACTGAGTTTTTATTTTGAAACATGCCGTGCTCGCGTTTAATTAATTAAATCATAGCATAAAGTAGCCTACACTGAATTATAGCGCTCTTGGCTTCTTTCACTAGCGCATTGTGCATTCCACTCAGGGGCGGACTTACCCATTATGGAAAGGTAGGCGACCGCCTTGGGCCCCCAAAAGCCAAGGTCCCCCTAAAATGCTTTTCATATATGCGCATTAAGCGCGGACAAGTGAACGTTTGCAGTTTACGGTGTTTATTACCACGACAACTGTCTGAGTCAGTGGCGCCTGCAGGTGTACGGCTGCACTGTGAGTATCATGAGCGTTTAGACTGATCTGAGATTTGCCCCGGAAACATTTCAGCAGTTATTATAGGCCTGTGTGTCCCGTATTTCTGTCGACTGAACCCATGCCGTTAATTATGGATTTATCAGTCTTTTGTATGCCAAAGTCCATTTCTGCATAAAAATACTCCGCCAAAAAGAAGCAGAAAATCGTGGTATACGCACTGTCATGAGATCGGGTTAGCCTACAACAATTAATTTGTTGGCTATTTTACAAATGGGAATACAACGAGTTCATGACAATGTTTACATTCAAGCTACCCGTAAAATGTATAGTGAAAAGTACTTTAAAAGCGTCTGGAATGCAATAGAGTAATTTTAAAGCTGTTTTTTAAAGCATTTGCTGCATGGATTGGATATGCACATTTATATAGGTTAAACATTTAAACTAACATTGTGATATACTTGAGCTGTTTTATATATAGATTTTATTTTAGGCAAGTCCTGATGATTTGAAAAGGCTAAATTGATCAAACATAGGCTATGCTATGATCAATTCACTGTCTGCCGCTGGCCTTTACTTAAATTAACTTACATTACTTATTAAATTACTTATTAACTTAATTTACTTACATATTAACGAACAAAAAATACTCCAAATGTTTTTCTAAATTTACTTTATAAAAAAACGAAACGAAATATAATCACTTTTCCATTATATGAAAAACGTAACTATTTGAATAGCTTAAGCTGCCATTTAAAAATAAGCTTTTTTGGGAGCTTAAGCTGTCATTTAAAAATAAGATTTTTTGGGGGGGGGGGGAAGGGGAAAAAAGACGGGCTAGGGCCTATATTTGAGACCCGCGCAGGGCTTTAATCCACTTCATCCAACGCTGTTTTGTTCTCATCTGTGAGCATGCTCTTGATATATGTATTTTAGGTGTGTAAATGTATAATTGCCTTTTCATAATTTTTTGTAGTTAAAACAACTAAAGATTAATTTATTTTAAAGTTTTGAATTAGACAGCCTTTGCACACAGGCTTACGCTGAAAACAACTAAATGGAACCTCAAGGTTGATCTAGGAAAATGTGAGCAAATGTATAGGGCCCCATTCCTATATTTTGCACTAAATCCGCCCCTGATTCCACTCACAGTAAATTGATTAAACAATTCAACTATACAAGCAGGGCGTCGCTGAAAATGAGTGTGTGAGTTTGTTTACAGAATGCTTGTCACTGCTGCAAATTCCCATATACACAAATAATTATTCGAAAAATATAATTTGCAGCCAGTAGCCAAGTGCAGGCCCCTGCGTTATGCGCCCCTGCCATATCCCCCATAGACATTCAACATTTTAATGCCTACTTTCCTTGACTCACTTATGTTGTTTTATACATAATTTTATGATTATCTCTTGGAACATATGGATTTTTTTAACTTTCATTTTTATAGCCTGTATTTTTAAGTAGGCCGATATGGGGTTTGAATGAGCCTAAACTTCCTAGATTTGATTGTTTAACCACATCCTTGCTTTTAATTGAAAAGAAAACTGTCCCACTTTTCCTGTTGATCTATACAACTTCTAAAAAAAAACATCTAAAGTCTATTACATTGAAATGATTTTAAATATTGTTTTGATAAATTTGCATTTAGGGCGGTTGAAACATCAAAAAAATGTAAGCTAAGCCTATCTACTCCGTTTTGAGCCTACTATCTTGCTTTAGGTTTAATTCACTGATAAAGTTTAAATGTCTTTCTTGTGCGCCATCTATTTCAAGTTTTACGAGCAGAAGAACCAGGGAACCAGTATGACGGGGAATGTAGTTTATAGGTGATTCTCGATACTCAACGCTGGACCAAAGTCTTCGCATAGTCCTGAAGTTTAGTTAGGCACACTGTGATGGGCTTCTTGAACAGATCAGCATTACTGGATATTTGGCTGAAAGACTCGACAGCGGATCCGCACGTATGCTACGAAAAGTTGTCGACAGGCAAATAAAGTGCGAAACTTCTCACCTCTCGAAGAAACGCTTTTTTGACAGCTGCAAGGCGCGCGTCCTTCAGCGAAACGCAGTGAATTTTTTATTTGTTTGTTTATAATTTTACGATCTACGAAAACCTAGACGTGGAGAGTTAGAGTACTCCGACCAACACGACTTTTAATTTTACGTAAATAATAATAATAAAAAAAGCTTTCTCTCTTTCAGACAAAAATGGTCATGTATTTAGAGCGCTGAAATGCAGCAGGAGCGGCTACTCAAAGTTCTTGTCATTGGAGATTTGGGTGTGGGGAAGACTTCCATCATAAAGCGATATGTGCATCAGGTTTTTTCTCAACATTACCGCGCGACTATCGGTGTTGATTTTGCTCTAAAAGTCCTGAATTGGGATCACCAGACAGTTATTCGACTGCAGTTGTGGGACATTGCAGGTCAGTTACTGAAGTTATGTATAGTTCTTTGTCTTTGCCTGCAGTGTTAATGATTGTCACTATACTTTATCTAAAAAGTCAATAGGCCTGTCTAAATAAATGAGCATATAGTTGAGAGGAGCCTTCAAGCGATATGGCATGCCATACCGCGTCAAAAACTATTCTACACAACATTTTCTGATTCTTGTATAGGCTACTTATATTATCCACGGCCATTTTGGACCCATCATGCCCGTGTTATCTGTCAGCTATACATTTATACATAAAATGCAGCTATTTTAGTCAGTTAAGTGTAATTGCTTGTCTTAAATATAAAAGCAAAGTAAAATCTGCAGTGATTAGTTCATTGTAGAATTTAATGCACTTTGACTTTATATTTACAGATGAAGAAAATTGAGCAAAACTCACAAAATACAGTAGAAATTAAGTTTTGTGACACGTTAAATTGATGGAACCAAAACTGTTTAGATAAAAAGATGAAATTTTTTACAGTGTTTACTGAATATGTGTATATATTTATGTAATATAAAGAATATGATGTCAAAGAAGTTTCAGCCCTTTAACCTTCAGTTTCCAAGCACTGATGTTTTATTGACCATTCACAGTGAAAATGCACCACATAATACTTATTCAGACAGTACACAGAAAGACAGAAAGAGATAAATAACATTACTAGAGTAATGCTCAGTTCCATCAATTCGATTCAAGATATATTCAGTTAAGCAGACATAATAAACATGTTGTTTATGATTACAGTTTGTGTTTGTAATGATTACAGTATAGGGATGCATGTATGATATGTAGGGATAATATATCCTGCCGAAAATTTGTGTAGAAAAATACTATACCGTCATCACATCACTATAGGCGTCCCACCAACATGATTGGGCACAGTTAGTTAACTGTTTCCAATTGTGAACAGGCCAAATTGTGAACCGTGTTCAAATGGAAATGCATCTGTCTGCTTTGACAGATTTTATAAAAAAAACTGAAATTAAAACTTAAAGGTATAGCACACCCATAAATTAATATTTGCTGAAAATATACTCACCCTCAGGCCATCCAAGATGTAGATGTGGTTGTCTCTTCATTGGAACAGATTTTGCTCACCAATGGATCCTCTGTAGTGAACGGATGCCTTCAGAAAGCAAGTTCAAACAGCTGATAAAAACATCACAATAATACACAAGTACTCCACACAGCTCCAGTCCATCAATTAACATTTTTTAATTTCAAAATGTTGCTTCGGGCCTCTATGCATAATTTTGCTTTCTCCAGTGAAAAAACCATCTTGTCTAAATCAAGAGAAAAATGTGCACAGATCAAGCACCATATACACCGCTACAAGTGAAAATAGTTCTAAATAAACATGTCAGTGGATTTGTTGAGAGGACAACAGGGGATGGACTTTTTTTACTAGAGGATAATAGACTTGTATTTTTCACAGAAGCGGCAGTTTAAAGTTAAAACGCCTTGATAAATGAGTTTCTTACAAACATGCTGTTTTTCACTTTACAAGACGTTAATTAATGGACTGGAGTCTTGTGGATTATTGTGATGTTTTTAATCAGCTGTTTGAATGCTCATTATGACGGCATCCTTTTACTGCAGAGAATCCATAAATGAGCAAGTGATGTAATGCTAAAATGCAACATTCATCTACATCAGGGTTCCTCAAATCTTGCCCAACTCTGATCAAACACACCCGACCAGGCTAATCAAGGTCTTCAGGATCACTAGGAAATCAAAGAGAGGTGAGCTTCATCAGGGTTTGAGCTAAACTCTGCAGGGCAGCGGCCCTCCAGGACCGGATTTGAGGAACCCTGATCTACATCTTGATAATTTTTGGGTGAACTATTCCTTTAAATATCATACACAGAAACTATCTTAACACTCTTTTTCTTATTTATTCTCAGGACAAGAGAGGTATGGCAACATGACACGTGTGTACTACAGAGAGGCCGTAGGGGCGCTGGTGATTTTTGACATGACCCGCGCCTCCACCTTCCAAGCTGTGTTGAAATGGAAAAAAGATCTTGATTCTAAAGTTGCCCATGGCAATGGGCGTCCCCTACCAGCTGTCCTGCTTGCCAACAAGTGTGACCAACAGAGATATGGTTTGTGTTCCAAACTGCCCAAACTCGACAATTTCTCTAGGGATCATGGATTTGTGGGGTGGTATGAGACGTCTGCAAAGGTACTGATTATAGGTTATATATTTTATTATATTACCCTTGCTAGTGCCTAGGTGCCTGTTTGAAAAGACACTTCTATTCATATTATTCCTTCTTATTTTTAACAGGACAACACAAACATTGATGCAGCCATCATGTGTCTTGTAGAAAATATAATGGCCATTGACACGGAGGATGTTCCTGTTAAATCGGACCCTAGTGTACTGATCCTCCCTGCTTTTGATTATAACCTAAAAGAGCGCAGTGACTCTAGATGTTCTGTCTGCACAACATTCCAGTCCAGCAAAAACCCCCACAGTGAATTATAGAGTAAGATGATGAAAACAACACAGAATGGAGTGGGAAAGAAAAATATAGAGAGAAAAAGAGATAACGGTCACACCCTTTGTTGTGCCTTCAGATAGTGCTGAAGTAAGCCTTTGTGGAAAAGACTAGACCATGAAGTCTTAACACTTATATGCACTTACATTTACACATACCAAAAACAACAATGTCATCAATAAAACATGCAGCGTTTACACAGAGTTTTCTCTGATACTTAATACAAATAATATTAATAAAATAAAATATAAATACTTAATGCTATAGACTCACAGCTATATAAGGCTCTTGAGGTTATACTGCAGCAGAAGAGCGGCGTGTGCACATTTGCCTCAACTTTGTGTCTGTTAAAGCCTCTGACTTTAAGTCTCCATCCTCAAAATGTGTGCATGCATTTGTGATTACATAGCGTAGGGGTGTGCTATTTTAAACACTGTCTACAACAAGCTTGTACACTCAACCGATACTTGAGGCTCTAAAAACACAGTTAAGTAACTAGACCGTTGCTGCTTATCAAGCTGAGATCAATTTGGGATTTTAGGCAAGATGCAGACCATATATGGCAAGCCCATGTAAACCAACAACAACAGCAACTAGACAAAATACTGTCTGTAGTGCTTTCTTTAGAGATATGACTGCACACATCATTTCACGTTATGAAAGATGAAATTATTATTTATGTTGAATGCAAGGTTTATATCAGAGATCAAGGATGATGTAAGATCTTCAAATGATTAATTAAATTCAGAGTTAAGCAGTCATGTGCCAGCATACAAAATGTATTGTATTAGTGTGAATAATCAGCAGTGGATTCACGCAGTCAAGTGTGTGTGTGTGTGTGCACGTACGTACATGAAAGCATTAGCATCAGACAAGTAATTGCGCTGAAGTGTCTCAGCAGACACTGTGGAGGCGCGTGCCTAGTGTTTAAATGTGTGACTGGATGTTTGTTTTTTATGTCATGACCCACATGCTTACTGTCTGCTCACAGCAGTAATTTTTCCACTCTTTATTTACCATGTATGTTTTGTCTGACTTGCAGAGGTTTTTCTCCTACCATCCATGCTTCGGTGCCCATAATTTATGGATCCCCACAGCTCTCTTACTAAATAGGCTTTTACTTTTTTACATATTTGAGGAAGTGTTTTGGACTGTGTAACTATCTGTATAATGTCACATCTCACAAAAAAATTATATGTACATTTTTTTCTCTCTGCTTGTTGGACTGCTTTAGTCCTCTTTGCCACATAACAGTCTGCCACATGGCGCGTGTCTAACAGTGACCTTTACTAAGCCTACTTTTTATTCAGCAGACATGATGTATAATTTTATGGCAATTTAAATGTGACAGTTAAATGTTTTCGCAAAAAAGAAATGGCCTTTTTTGTTACTCATTAACATATGTGTATGCAATGGCTTGAATAATGAAAAGCTTTAAACAACCTTTACTGTGTTTTTCTGAATTTTTTCATGTCCCCAGCCTTGCTGTATTAGCATATATAAACATTTTGATATAGTAATAAATAATACAGTAAATAAAAGGTATGTAATTATTTTATATATTTTAATTTTGTTTGACATAATATATTCAAATGCAGAATTGTTAATTCATGCGTTCATGACCTCAAGGTTAGATTATTGTAATGCTTTATTGGTTGTTCTGCACGCTTAATAAACAAACTCCAGCTGGTCCAAAATGCAGCAGCTAGCGTTCTTACTAGAACCAGGAAGTACGACCATATTAGCCCGGTTCTATCAACACTGCACTGGCTCCCTATTAAACATCGTATAGATTTTAAAATCTTGCTAATTACTTATAAAGCCCTGAATGGTTTAGGACCTCAGTATTTGAATGAGCTCTTATTGCATTATAGTCCTCCACGTCCGCTGCGTTCTCAAAACTCTGGCAATTTGATAATACCTAAAATATCAAAATCAACTGCGGGCGGCAGATCCTTTTCCTATTTAGCCCCCAAACTCTGGAATAACCTACCCAACATTGTTTAAATCTAGATTAAAGACCCATCTCTTTAACCTGGCTTACACATAACACACAAACACATTTCTAATATTAAAAACCGTTAAAGGATTGTTAGGCTGCATTAATTAGGACAACCAGAACCGGGAACACTTCCCATCACACCCGATGTACTTGCTACATTGTTAGAAGAATGGCATCTACGCTAATATTAGTCAGTTTCTCTCTTATTCCGAGGTCACTGTAGCCACCAGATCCAGTCTGTATCCAGATCAGATGGTCACTGCAGTCACCCGGATCCAGTACGTATCCAGCCCAGATGGTGGATCAGGACCTAGAGATGACCTAGACAGCCATGAATGTCAGCGGAGACCAGGACAACTAGATGAGCCCCAGAGACAAATCCCCAGTAAAGACCTTGTCTCCTAGACGGCCACCGGGACAACACCACAGGAACCAGTTGAGTCCTCTGCTCAATGTGACTTTGCTGCAGCCTGGAATTGGACTGCTGGTTTCGTCTGGTCAGAGGAGAACTGGCCCCCCAACTGAGCCTGGTTTCTCCCAAGGTTTTTTCTCCATTCTGTCCCCGATGGAGTTTTGGTTCCTTGCCGCTGTTGCCTCTGGCTTGCTTAGTTGGGGACACTTAATTTCCAGCGATATCGTCGACTTGATTGCACTGATACTATTTTAACTGGATGATGACGACTGAATTCAATAATGAACTGCCTTTAACTGAAAATTGAGGGTTTACTATTGTCATTTTGCATTAATGACACACTATCTTCCTATTTAATGCTGTAAAGTTGTTTTGACACAATCTGTATTGTTAAAAGCAGTAAGGTGACTTGACTTGACTATTAAAATGATTTGAAGTTGTGTGTCCACATTATGTATAAACCCTGTTACCATCATAAATCTCCTTTATTAAAAGGATGTACAATGAACAAGTGAGGCATAGTTTCATTATGTGCAAATGAAGGCTGAAGATGTTCTATGATTTTTAGAGGTAATTGCAAATCGTTTGGAACAACATGGGGGTGAGCTGCACGGTCTAATGACAGAGAGAGAGAGAGAGAGAGAGAGAGAGAGCATATCTAACGCCTGAAGAAGTGCTGTATTTCCAGTCTTAGGCAATAATTGTAGGTCTGAGAGCATCCCCGGCGAATGTGTATCGATCGCTTCACAGGTATGGTTTAGTTGTTGCGGGGCAAGTATGAGTAGGGGAGCGATGAGGATATTTGCTCCTCCGACACTCCAGCAGAAGGATGCGATAGTGTCACGACGCGTTGTCGTTAATGATCAACGGGAATTCCGTAAAAGTGCTTTGGACAGCAAACTGTTACCGGCTTTCGTGCCAATCGAAAGGTTAACGACTGTCGGGACCAAATCACCTTTGAAAAAACCGGGAAGAGAGGCGATGCAAGATGTTTTCCTGAAATCAAGTTTGAGCAGATATTTTGGTAAGTAGCACACTTGATGGGGGCATTATGTCAGAAAGGATTCATCAAAAGTAAAGTACAATTTGTACAAATACAATTACATGGATTTAAATAGATGTTTTGCTGTTTCCAAGTATGATACAGCCCAGCAGTAAAGTCTCCATAATGCCGTGGGTGAAGACAGAATTGCTTCTTTTTATTTTTCCAGTGATTTCAGGTGGGACACTGCCTTGGATCCTCTTACTTATAAAATATTGTTCAAATGGTGTGTTTATTAGCCTACTGCCTTTTATTAGACAGCCAGCTGTCTTGCTCTCTATTTATGAATAGCCTATTTAATAGTTTATTAGCCTAATAATTAGTGGCATCTTTGTTTTTTTTTTAAATAGTTGTAGCATGCTGTTTGTTTATTAAATGTGTATCTATTTTAGGCCTATCTATTATATAGAAGAAGTGTTAAGTGGCAAAGGTGGTTTCAATGCATTAGGTAGACTGTGATGCTTTGATTTGTCTAATAAATAAATTGCTAAATAAAACTAACAGCTTGTCTCTTCTCAATTTACCAGCCCAGAGCTCTGAACTACCTGCAGTAATGGACAGTAACATGCTCACTGAATTTGCTTACCAACCTGGGCCATCGTACCTGAGTCTGATCCTGTTGGCTCTGACCGTGGGACTGTCCGGCAGTGTTTACCTCTGCGTGCTGCGGTACATTTGCACCGGCTGCTGCCAGCCTGTAGTTGTTGGACCTGAAGATGAGAGCATGTCAGGAGTGGTGTGATAGCAGCTTTTGTTTGAAAGAGTGTGTGTATTCATGACTGTGAGATTAGTTTGTGTGCTAAAGCACTCATGCTGGTCATCTTGAGAAGTTTAAGCAGACGTTAATTTTCAGGGGTTCGCAAGGCTGTATTTATGTAATGTGAAAGTAAACAAGGAAAATTGGCACAACGTTCAATTATTTCCTTTATTTTCAAACTAAAACAGCAATTTATAAATCTCTGAGAATCTCTGGTTGAAGTGTTGCTGTTTTATTTGGAAAATAAAGGGAATAGTTGAACAGTTTACAACGTGTTTTCTGTTTTGGTCCTCCACCTGTTGAAGGTGTTTTGGATGTGCTTATTTTCTCCAATATTACACATTGGTTAGAGAAAAATCCCTGAATACAAATGTTTTTCTGTTCCCATATTCCTTATGAAACACTTAACTATAAATCATTCTTTTTAATTTATGTAGCAGAGTTTAAAGCTCACCTTAAGAACATCAGAATGTTAAAAGTGTAAGACAGAATTTGTGTAATAAATTGCTTATCGCTTGTTAGTCACTTGAGTTAAAAGCATCTGCCAAATGACTACTTGTAAATGTGAAATTCACAGCTCTAAAACCTGACTGTATGTTGGCAGTAAAAGCATTCATTTAGCATCTACGGAGTCAGGCATTTGACTAAACAGATGACGCAAGTGTTGACTGAATGAGAGGGAGGAGTAAACCATTTCAGCAGGATTTCCATGCTCTGTCAGTCAAGAGAACTCACTCACAAATGCTCTGCTTGCGTTATTGTGACACAATCTGCAGTACCACACACTGTACTTTATATGAATGTATAAAGACCTTTTGTAAAAACAAGATAAAATAATTATGAAACAATTTCGAAACCAATTTTTTTTTATTTCTTGGTCCACGTATTTTAATTATTTTTAATGATCTATACAGTGATCCAGAATCGTTTTTAGAATAAAAAAAATCCAGTGCAATTTTCTATTACAAGCAGAATTTGAACCACATTGTGTTATTTTCAAGTCAACATCTCTTGTTTATATAAGTAGGATGCTCCCTGAGGAAGTGATCAGTTGCAGAAACTGTTGCCAAGGGCTACTGCTGGATCTAGTTGCCATGGAAATAGTTGCATCTGTTTTCCTCTAGATGGGTCTGTCTAACTGCAAGTATCCAAAATATCTGCTGGACTAGATGTTCATTTTGTAGATCAGTTTAATGTTTTGTGTTTTCCAGTGTCAAAAATATTAACGTTCATTGCAAATGCATTGTCTTTGTGCATATGAATACCACACAATGAATAGGTTCTTAGTAAATTTATAGTAATTTTGTTTTAATAGTAGTTTTGTCAGTGATGTAAAAACCTAAAACAGCTATTTAAAAAATCAGGTTTACTTACACAAATGTTTTGTCTTGTTAAGCATAACCTAAGAGCTTGCTCTGACATCTAGTTAGAGTGTCATCAGTTTTTAAAGTAGACTATATATAGCCATATGTGACACAAGTTCAAATGAGCTATTTACATGTTAGAATGAGACATGTTCTCATGCTCCTCCCAAATGAAGTCTAGGTTCGACACCATTGTGGTTTTGCTCTTTAAACCACTTCCTCATACAGAGAAGGTGTGTTTAAATGTTGTACTTCCCTTCTGAAACATACTTTTGCTTACCTCATTTTTGACACACTGGGTTTTAATGCTTTAGAGAAGGTCAAAGGTCATCACTTTTTTTTTTTAATTCAGGGTTATGGGACATATGTTTTAACATTTCAATAATGCACTTGTTCACTGTAATACACTACATTCTACTTTGTATAAATCTAATGTGGAAATAAAAAAAATCAAGCAAAATGTGAAATGTTTGTTTTGTGTAATACATCTATTGTGTCTTGTTATTTGATTGCATTTGTGTAATCTGTTATATCACAGTGTATTGTAATATATTTATAGTGTCTTTTTTTAGTTAGTGTTTCATTAACAGATCAAATGGTATTTTGTGGTATTTTAAACCAAATTACATCTCACAGCTCTTAAGTGGGCATTAAACAGAAAACGACTCCGTTCATGCTGATGGACACTGTTTCTGATCTTCATTTTGCTTCAGTTGGGTGTCATAATACGGTGAATAGTACAACACAGTCAGTCACTCATTCACATGTGAATAGACAAGGGCAAAGTGATCTGAAAGCTTTGTTCTGCTTCTGAAACTGTTGGATGTCGTTTTCAGAGAGAAACGCAGACATAGTCACATAAAAAAGGTTGACTGAGTCATAAGCTTTTGAAGAAACATTCCGAACATATTTATAGGCTACTTCAAAAGATCAGAATGCACATTTCAAACAACAAATTTTTTTTACAGTTAATTGCAATATAGGCTATAAATTATTTAAAACTAAAATAATACAGTAATACATAATTAACCTTTAAATTCCCTTACGTGATTAATAATAATGATTAATTTCGAAATCTGAATAATTTTGAATATTTATACAAATACAAGACAATTTCAACAGAGACACAATGCGTACTGTATAGTCTCACTGTCGGACCAATCTGACTGATTGATCTTGATCCATGCACAAAATATTAAATGCGGACCAAAAATTAATTCTATTGTAATTAAATTACATTACTTTAAATGTACATAAAACATATCCTATGAAAACATTATGAAAGTAATTCATGAACGCTTGTGATTCCCAAATGGCAATGCAAAAAAAAAAATGTAATATTTTTTTGACATGTGTGTGTGTATTAAATGTATTACAAAAGTTGAGCATTACTTAAAATCTCCGGGGGCATTTTAGGCAAATAATTTATGGATCAGCTGTCAAGAAAGAATCACAACGAGGATCCAAGTAAAGAGTGGCAACGCTATTTCCCACGAACGAGTCAACGCCACTTGCTCCCGCCCAATCAAACTCCAGCTCTTCGTTCACCTGATCAGAGCGAAGCCATTTTGTCCTGCACGGCTCCGCCAGCGCATTCTTCAGCAAACCGGAATAACGTAGAGCTGACAGTTCGAACCACAGACACAGCGTCAGACAGGGGTTCTACAGCTACACCACCCCATCATTGAGTCCCGAACAGCTCGACGTCTCTCGGTCTCACCATAGGCGGAACCGTGTCGTATTCGCGGACTAAGGGAGACTTTAAGCGGGACGGAAGGGAAGAGAACCAGGCATCCGGTTAGACGCGCTGGCTCACCGGGCTGGAGTCCAACTTGAGCCGGACACTTTCAGCTGTCCTCGTCGGGATGAGTGCTGGACTTGTTTTTAACAATATTTACCACTCTTTTTGAAGATTTTGTGTAATCTATGCATAGCTTAGGCTCGCACAGGATTGTTTTTTGTTAGTAGTGTCTAATAAGAAAGCTGGAGCACTAATTCAAGTTCAGATGTGATTTAAGCTATCTACTCAGCTGGCTGGACAGATAGTTTAGGTTGTCGATTAGATAAGTCGCTTAAATAGATTGGTTACATAATACTTCTGTTTTGTTAACGGTTTAGTTACATTTTTGAGTTGGTCCAGCTTTCTTTTTTCTCTTTGCCAAGTCTCTCATAGGGTTTGGTTTGTATGTCTATGCATATTTCTCGCAAGGAAACCTGTCGGAGTTGTTAGGTCTTGGTGCCATTATAATAGTAGGTTCATAAAGACAGGAAAAACCACAGAACAGATTTGCCTATCTAATCACAAGCTAGTCTGCGGTGCTTCCCAGATCCACTTTGTTTTCTTTTAAAAGGTCTATGTTGGTGAGGCACAAGCTGGCTGAGAGGTGATATTTTCGGCCTGAATCCTCTGAGCTGGCCTGACTGATAGCTATGACATTTTCCAACAGTTGTTTTGTATCTTCAGACTTCAATATTACAAGTATCTGCTCTTGGTGCCAACGCTGTATGAGTAATTTTAGCTAACAAAAGTTCAGATCGCCCCTCCATATTAGTTACGGCATATCTAGTTGTGATATTTTTACTAGTTAGGTCACGTTTTCCTTCCATTTTTGCTACAAGTTTATGAATAAGTGCCAGTTGACTTCGAAACGTATCAAACTCATCAGTTTGTATCGAGTGTACTTTTGTAAAATCGTCAACTCCTATACTTAGATCTTAGTGGAAAGACACCTTTTGCAGCTAGACCAGATCAAGTCATTTTTCATATCTCAGAGTTGCATAAAAATGTCAGGACAGTCCATCACAGATCGCATCGCAGCGGCCCAGCACAGCATGACTGGATCAGCCATCAGCAAAGCCGTCTGCAAGGCCACAACGCATGAAGTCAGTGGACCCAAAAAGAAACACCTCGATTGTGAGTATACCAAACAAAAATCTGTATTTTTACCTGTCTCTTCACAGGTACTCTTGAGTGCTTTTTAAAAAGTCTTATCGCATCCCTGGCATGCAGTTCCACTAGCCTTGCACATCCTCAGCTGTCTGGACACCAGTGATGAATTGTAATGTGCTCATGACGGGAATGCTGATCTGTCTTTGGACACGGTCAGATCGAGGAGCTGATGCCACTGTAATGTGGTAGTATACAGTCATTCATGGGATTTGTGGCTCATTTTATTTTACTATAATGATATACGTGTTATTTCAGTTGTGGAGGTTGTCATCATGCAATCAACCTCGATCTATTAATATCTGCTTCATAATAAGCAGCCGCTCTGGCTTGAATCAGTGAAAGCAGCTGTCGGAGATTCTGATGCATTGTGTTTGAAGTCATGTGTTGTGCGTAATGTCTTCACGTCTTGTTTGATCCCTCTTTAGCAGTAATCGTCGAGACATGGTGGGAGTGGTGAAGGTCAATACAGACGTGTGTGCAGTGAAGCATTGACTCAAATTGATTCTTTTGACAAAAGCAGAGTTAATGCAGAATGCAGCACATCAGTTTCATACTCGCATAGGCAGTGTCACAACACAGTTGAGAGAGAGTTTCCGAACGGATGGCCACTGAAGTATTTGCACAACTTGTATCTGATATACTGAACATAGATAAAAGCATCTAGATGCAAAATGCTCTTCGTCAAGGGATTTGCTATTAGACCTTTAACTGCGGGAGGCTGGCTGCTTCGGCTCCTGTCGTGCTGTAAAACCCCTGACTGACTTGCAGCCATGTAAATGATCTGAAGTCTGATTGGGTTGTTGTGTGTTTGTGTCTCTGATTCTTCAGCGTTTGCAGAACACAGCTTCATGTTTAGTCTGGATTTGTTTCCTGTGTCAGCCACCTGTTATACGGCCTAGCAGCTAGTGTGTGTTGAGCAGCCAGCTTCGATGCTTTTGTTTTAATCTTGCAAAACTGCATTTATTTTTCGTAACTGTTACTCAACAACACAGAATTACTGAAGGTCATGTGTTACTCACTACCTCTTTTTGCTCAAAGCAGAGAAGTATTATTATCCAGAAACATTACTTGCTTAAGCCGGTTCTTAGAATTGGGAAATTTCAGAAGCCTGACGTATGTTGTTTTGCTTTCGTGCAATGCATCATAACTATGGATTAGGGATGCATTAGTAGCAGAGTATATGAGCGTTAGCCTTAAAGTTCTGCATAATTAAGCAATTAAGAAATCCACCCGTCACTTGAGTGACGGGTGGATTGCTGCTGCTGTCACCACTGTCAAGCTAGGTGGCTGTGGTTTCAGCAACCAGCTCCCGCCTCTTTGCCCATTTTCGATTATCCGGGAGTGACGCGCTGCCAAGATGGCGACGGCCGGCTCCGCCTGCTTTAGGCTTCAAAAACGCTCTTCGGAAACCTACAGGTGACATCACGGACACTACATCCATGTTTTTATACAGTCTATGGTATCAGCCAGATTTTTTATATCATTGTGTTCCTTTTATTTATCATAGCTTAGAATAAGCTCCGTGTTTATCCATTGTTTTTCATTCTGGCAAAAGTAATCTGTCAGACTGGAAATTTAGATACCTGACAAAGAAGTTAATCTGGTGTTTTTTCCCCTCTTTTGAAGGTTCTATCTTTTATTAAGTTTTGTCCAGCTTGCATTCACTTTCCTGTTCTGTGCAAACAGCAGTGAGATTTTTACTGAGTCAACAAACAGATTTTGCACTCTGACCTCTTCGGAAGCAGTGAGTGGGACACTTGAGCTTACTGTACTGAACTGAGATTTGTGCCGCTCGGTCTTGCATTCTAACCAATAAACTAACTGGGGAACTGTTACCAGACTGATTACACCGCTAATTACACTCAGTTTCTGATTTCCCAGTTTCCATTGATCATTTACAGGTCCTCTTGATCGATATTTCACACAAAAATGACAAAAGCTGTCTTAAATCAATAGTTTAATGTAAATTTGGGGCATTAGGTTGCACTAGATTTCATCAGTCCACTGGGATACAGTGTTTAAAAATAAATAACTAATAGCTTTGGCAAAGTTTGCAAGGTTTTTGACAGCTATTCAGGAGGTTTATTTCAAACTATTAGTAGGAAGTAAACAAAATATCCTTAAGCACAGCTGTATATTTTATTTTAGAGTTGCCCGCTCCTTAAAAACTTAAAGGGGTCATATGATGCGATTTCAATTTTTCCTTTCTCTTTGGAGTGTTACAAGCTCTTGGTGCATAAAGAAGATCTGTAAAGTTGCAAAGACTAAAGTCTCAAATCCAAAGAGATATTCTTTATAAAAGTTCAGAGTCAGCCACGCCTACCTAAAATGGCTCGTTCTAACACGCCCCCACATACCTACGTCACAATGTGGGAAGATTTGCATAACGCCGCCCCAATGTTCACGCAAAGAAAGAAGGCGTAACTTTTATTCTCGCTGTAGTATTGTTGCTGCCGCCATGTCGTGAAGGCGCTGTGTGTTTCGTTGTGAAAGCGAAACTACTTTGTTTGGCCTTCCAAAATAGGACAATATCTGCTTCGTCATGCCTAGAGCTGATCCGTGCTGGTCGCTGAGTAAATACATCAACTTCGCGCTGTGGATCGCCGGATCGGCTTTCACCGTGGATGAAGCAGAGTCCAGCCTGGGGTCGTCACATGTGGTTGCTGCAAGCCCACTGGCCGCTCCTTCGTCAAATCCGCCGGCCAACAGTTCACTCTAGCCAGCCGGCCGTTCCTCACTTTAGCCCGCCGGCCTCCGCTCACTCAAGCCCGCCCGCCTTCTTTGTTTGGCCTTCCAAAAGAGGACACGACTAGAAATCAGTGGTTAAGTTGTATTTACAGCACTGTTCCAGAACAGTTCAACCCAAATATTCAGATGTGTGCAGCACATTTTATGAAGGACTGTTTCCTGATCCTGGGAGAGTAGACTACAATGCCGGCTGTTCTGACTCACAGACTGTAAGTACGTTTTTTTATATTTAAAGGATTTGCCACTGACGATTCAAATGGAAGTTTTGAGCAGTGTAGAGTAGCGCTTGTTGTTTGTCATTTCTCCGATCACAAATGCAGACATGGTTTTATGTTTACGCTGCGTTTTCTGACAGTTTGTGCAGAAATTCTTTCGTTATGCAAACCGATTGTTGCAGGAGCTGTCTGGGTGGCTGGTCTCAGACGTTCTTATCTGTGTTTTTCTGTCAATATGGGGTGCTGTGTGTACATTAATGAGGAAAAAAAAATTAACTTAAATGATTTTAGCAAATGGCTGCAATATAACAAAGAGTGAAAAATTTAAGGGGGTCTGAATACTTTCCGTACCCACTGTATATATAAACGTGTATTTTAGGTAGTTTTTTAAAATCTTCTCTTCTTGTAAGGCACTTTTCCTTTGCTATTGCGTTGCAGCTTGCATATTTGTTTGAGTGCCTTGTCACGAGTGTTGCATTCTCATGACGCACAGGTTAAAAATGTCATGTGTCAGGTTAAAAATAGTTAAAAAAACACACCTTAAAATCTTTGCATTCTGTTCCATTGTATTGCTTTCAATCTAGTTGTCTTTGAACACAAAAGTATGTCATATAAATGCCCCCAGACTTGTTTAGGAGAAGCCGAAAGCAGCCTATAATGTATGGGGCTTCGTTAAGTCTGTCTTTCAGTAAACCCACCACACTGATTGATTTCGAATGTATAGTTTTGCACATGCCTAAACCAGACTTTACAGTCATAGTCAATAATCATGAGACTATTCAACTAGCAGAAATCTGAGTCTGGAGTGTGTCAGGGTTAAAGGTGAAGTGCTGCTGATTTTGAACCAGACAGCTGAAATGATGTTGTGCAGCAAAGACAAAACAGCAATTCTCAATTCTCAAACATGTCTGGGGAAAATACCACCCAGCCTTTCAGAATACAGATTACCCTTCAGGATGCTCAGTCCACTGCTCCACAAGAGCAAACTGCTTCACAGATAAGTAGCTTTTACTTATGAACTCATTGTAATTTTGTGGATGATGGATGTAGTATTGCTTGAGAAGCAAGTAAGGAGAAATAGACTCAGGAGCTATGGTACTTAAACTGATAAAAGAGGATGGCTCTGAAGCACAGATTCAGTAATGGAGTTTTTTAGGAAGGAGAAGCAGTTGATCAATGTTTGAGCATCATTCAGTGTGAGGACACAACTGCACCACTTTAAGAGAGCTTATACATGCTGCATGACACATTGCTTCTGTTCACCTCACGCTTATAGTGCTGATGTGGCCTATTTATAGCTGCTGAGGGGCTTTGGCTCTTGTTTTGTACCTTATAAAAGCCCTTGGCTCCTCTTCTGACATCTCCTCTGCAAAACCTGGGACTTTATTTATGACTCATCTCAGGGGAGAGAATTCTCAAAGCTCTTTTTTTTTTCTTATTCCCATATATGCAAAACTACATATATTCAAATTCGGATACACAACTATAATCTTATATTGCACAAAACTATAATTAACAGACAGACCCAAATATACTGTATAGCATAACAGGAAGTTTGAAGTCTGAGAGTATTTAGATATGCAAAATCAAATAAAACTATTAGACTTTCTGTATACTAACCCAAAGGACTTGCAATCCAAAGTTTGCAGATTCGAATCTTGATACCGGCAGGGATTGTAGGTGAGGGGAGTGAATGTACTGCGCTCTCTTCCACCCTCTATACCACATCTGAGGTTAGACCCTTGAGTAAGGCACCAATCCCAAAACTGCTCCCTGGGCGCTGCAGCAAAAAAATGGCTTCCCACTGCTGGTGTTCACTACTCACTGCTGTGTGTCTGTGTGTACTTGGATGGGTTAAATGCAGAGCACAAATTCTGAGTATGGGTCACCATACTTGGCCATGTCACGTCACTTTTTTTTGAAAGCATCAAATAAATAATTTTTTTTTACAAATATTTACAAAATGTTTTAACTAACCAACTAGCTGAAATTCCTAATTTA